GACAAGGGTGTTGGAGCCTTCCCAAAAGTTGGGGGAGGGCAATGGCCCCCACCCTTCCTCTTCTCCCCCTCCTCCCCCAAAGCCTGCCCATGGTCCTCCTCTTCTCTGGAGGCCCCACCCCCAGCCAAGCCAGAGTGGAGCCTGGGAGCCTGCCCTTCCTGCCCAGGGTGGGGCCAAAAGCAATCCCCTGCCTGTGTCCCCGCCCCCCACATAGAGCCACATGGGCAGCTATGAGGAGCTGGCGCGAAGTCACGCACTCTGCACCTGCCCTGGGCTGGGTGGGGACAGGGGCTGGGGGCTGCTCTCGGCACCCAGGGTCGGTGCAAGGATATTTTGCGCCCTAGGCGAAACTTCCACCTTGCACCCCAGAGAGCTGCAGTAGCAAAGGGAGTGCTCAGAACCACGCAGCGCAGCCTCTCTGCAGAACTTTGCTCCACCAGGGAGCCGGGAGGTGAAGGGGGAGAGGGATTGTGAGGAGAGGCAGTGGTGGTTAGTACTTGTGCTGTTGATTACACATAAATCACCAAATTCAGGTGTCATCGTGGTGAGGAGCCCAGGCAGGCAATCACACACACACACACACATACGCCCCTCCCAGGAAGAATGCAGCCACAACAGCAGCGAGGCTGGGCTGGACACGAAGCGGGATGGAGTGCAGCACCCTGGCAGAGAGAGGGGAAGCCTGCGGTGAGGCACAGGGACCTCAGCAGCTTGCTCACTTTGGAGAGGCTCTTCACCGCATGTTGGGGAGCTCCAGGCAGAAGTGGGGGTGGGACAGAAGCACTGCTGGAATGGAGAGAAGCAGCGTACCAGGGGGAGGAAAGGGCGGGGGACAGAGGCGCACCCTGGAGGGTCAGCCTTGCTTGCTCCACCTCTCCCCTTCTGACCCCACGTTCCCTGTCCCCTGCGTCCTCTCCCCCCTTCCTTCCATCGCTGTGTCGACTTCTCTTCTCCTCCTCTCCAGCGTTTTCCTCCCTTGATCCCTCCCCAGGGACAAGGGAAGTGCCTGGGAAATGCAACGGAGGCAGGTCACCGGAGAGCCAGCCCCGCTTGCCTGTGAGAAGATGCGACCTGCCTTGGGTCCAGGGCACGGGCTTGTGATAAAGTGCGAGCAGCCATGCCTTGCCGTGGCCCTCTCCCCGGCAGAGAGAGGCTGGAAGTTTCCCATGGGGGTGATTCCCAAGCCCTCTGATTCCGGCTCCTTGACTTATTTGCCCCAGGCAGAGGTTTTCCCTGGCAGGAGAACGGAACAAAGATGAACCCTCCTTGTGTGCACGGCTGGGTTGCCATGAGGCAACCTCCGCACAGAATGGGACAGAGCTGCCCAATGCAGTGTGTGGAAGAGACAGAGAGTGAGGAAGACCCAGGTACGGGGGAAGGCAGCTTGGGGAAAAGACCGAACTGCGCCCCTTCCCATTTTGGATGAAGCAAAAAACAATTTGGGGCACCGCTTTTTGGTGCCCCCAAATCTTGGCGCCCTAGGCGGCCGCCTAGTTTGCCTAGTGGTTACACCGGCCCTGTCGGCACCCCTGCACCACGGGCAGGTGGAGGGTCCGCACGGCTCCCTCAGCTGCCGGGGCTCCACCAGCTGCTGGCCTGGCCAGGGGGTGGGGCCTCACGGGGAAGAGGGTGGGGTCTGCTGTGATGACAAGTGGATGGGCCAGGCCCGTCCATTTTCAAAAAGTGGGAGTGCGGTGGCCCCAGTTCTGGCATCACTGCTTCATGAACGCTTTTTAAAGGAAAAGGTAAATAGCTGTGCACAATGGGCCAGATTATCAAAGGCTCTCTAGAAATGTGCCTCTGATATTTGTGCCTTTTTTGTACAAGCAAAGCCACCAATTGCACTCTGTTTGCTGCACAAATATTTATATATATATTTGCACATGTAAAAATTACAGATGTATTTTTGGGGGCATCCCTATATGTTGGTGATAACTTAATTTCAACAGTTTTCATTGTGCATTTAAGAAACCTTTTAAAAAATATTTTTAGCAAGATACAAGGACAGGTACTGTGCAATACAAAACAGTTGTAAGATGCATTTTAGAGTGAATAGAGAAGCAGTCACAGGTGGGACTCTTGTTAGGAAGCTTTAGATATTGTTTTTCAGCCTTTGTTTATGTGATATCTGTTCATTACATGGGATAAAAGTAGACCTAGGATCTATTTTTCACATTAGAAGTGTTAAATACATACCATGATGTGTGGGTGACTACCTTTCATTGAACAGACGCAGCATGTATCAGAGAATAAATGATCTTGGTGTGGACAGCTTTGTGTAAAGTGCATTTTCCTTGTTATAGAAACTTTTTACCAGCTGAAGAGCATATTGATTTTGCTGGATGCTCTTTGATAATATAGCAGGTGTGCTGTAGCTTTGTGACTGCTGAATTTGACACAACTCTAAATTCAAAGTGTGAATTTCAAACCTGTTCTGTAGTAGTTATCTAACAGCTAGCACCATTTCCAACATTCCCAGAGGAGTTCAAAGGCAAGACAGATTTAACAACATTTTGTATTTATCATGGGATTGAAGAGTTGAAGGTTGTCTGATCATATACCACAAAGCCACGCACAGATCAGATCTCATTCATTTGTTTAAAAAAAAAAAGTATTAGAAACTCACAGGAATTGAAATACCTATCTTAACATGTTTAAAATGTTATGAGGAAAAGCTACACACATAAAATTCTAATCTGATTATAAAAAAAAAAGTTACATAGAAATCAAGGGATCGGTACAAAAGACGCTCACCATTTTAGTTGGCTATTTCTTTGTTTCATTTACAGTATTTATGACTCAGGGCATGACCAGGCTACATAGGGTGCAGCAGAAAGCTGCATCCACTTCTGCTCATGAGTGGCTAGAAAATGGTATAATTTATGTTTTCTGCATTTTTAAAAGCATTCTGACTAATTACACTGGTTAGAGGGCATTCTAGAGGTTCAAGAGTTCAAACCCACTGAGACAGCAATTTGTCTGGAGTATGCCTTTATTCTGATATATGGCATGATGTTAACTTATCAGCCTGTTTACTGAACATTATTTTTTTCAAAATAATAGTCTTGTATTGCTCTCCCAACTACTTATCTGTTCCGCATCACTGAAGCAGAGACACCAAATTACTCTGAGAGATCACACATTTTCTCTTCTCTTTTTTCTGTCTCTGTATCTTTCTTGAACTTGGATGTAAAATATAAATTTTAAAACATCTAGCTACTAAGAAGAGATGAATGATTCAAGCCTTGTATGAAGGCAGAAAAAATAAAGCTAACTAGTAAGAAAGAAATCTGTTTAAATATGCTGCTATACTGCCGACCTCAGATGGGACACTTCAATTTCCTATAAGTGCCAGAGCCCATCTCAGTTTGTTCAGCCAGTCATTCAAGCAGCAGAAGACAATTTGGGAAGAGGCAAAATATTAACCATGATACAAATACAATATGCAATTTAGGTGGCAGTAAAGATCATAGTGCTGTCTCCATGGTACATGGTACACAGCACAGATGGTCACTATACGGTCTCTTCCACACTATTCCAGCTATTGTGCCTCATCCTGACTAATTCAGTCTACATGGCCCATTAAATCCCTGACCTCTGCTCAGACTCCCATTAAAGCTTCTAATTACTGCCAGTTTTGGCACAGTTTTTTCCACTATGAAAATCTGGGAATTGAGACCACTAAGCTCATTTCACATAGGCCATTGAACTGCCATCTGATGGTAATAACTCTTACTCAATAGTGACCCAGGCTGGGTTTGAGCCAGTGACCTAGGGAGATGGCAATATATCGTGCTACCAATCCTTAGAATCTTCTGCACCAGCACAAAATGGCTTCAAATGGGAAAGGAGAAAGCATTTAAATGTTTAAGTGTAATTAAGAAAAATACAAGTGGCTACAGGCTTATATTAGTAAGCGGAGGAAAAATTCATATAGAGTTAAATCTTGGCTGAAAATCATGATAGCAAAGCAATAGAAAAACACAGTCCTGTTTTTATTTTTTTGAACAAAGACATCAAAATGAGGATAATTAATCCAATTCTGCACTTTTTATATGGATAAACCTCCCATTGAGCTGAATGGAAATATTGTAGTTTTAAGCTCACATAAATCATATTTTAAAGAAAGTCATAGTAAAATTAAAATGTTGACTGGGGTTCAGTACATTCAATAAAACACATTTTAATAAAAATCTTAAAAGAACAGATACCAGAAATGCTTAGTGCCTTCTAAAGCCTCAAGATAAAGGGGAGACATAATTAAAGAAAGACAAAAAGAACTTTGTGAAAATTAAAATTTGAGGATGCTGAACGTTTACTGTATTTTTTTAAAAAAAGGGGTTTTCAAAACAAACAGAACTTGAAACAAAAAAGAGAAAGTAAAACTTTTTCAGAGTAAAAATAAATTAAAAGTGAGGTCAGTGTGCACACACTCTCCCTCACACACATATATATCAAATATTGTATGCCTTTCACCTTCCCTTCATGTTCCATTCTCTCCTGTCTCTATTTTCATAATGGTACCTCTCTCTATTCCAGTCATCTTCCTAGTTATTTAAATGTGATTTTATTTCTGATCAAGATTTCTCACAATATTTCCGGCACCTGTTTTATCCCCCATGTTTTTCACACTTACTTACTTAAATCATTTCTCCTGGTTTGATCCGGCTCTGAAGAGTACAGAAACAATTTTCTGCCTCCTAAAAACAACCTTTCTCAACAGCCCACAGAAGGCCTTAAAGATACAGCTACTTTTATCTACCTTACTTGTCTACAATATTTTTCTCTCACCTACTTTCATTTTTGTAGCTTCTGCTGGTCAACAGAAGTCATTCTGCTTCAAGCTGTGTCACTGATTATATGATGAATTGTATATTTCAAATAGAAGAACATTATTGTCACTCCTTGGTGTCATCTTGTGTTGAAGATAAATGTTGTAACGATGGTTGGAACAAAGGTTTGGCTTTCTCTGATTTCTCTGATTTTTTATTTTTTTTCAGATTAAATTTGACAGTGATGGTGTCTGTGTTTGCTGTGAAATGCAGCATCAAACATCAGGCTGCAGCAACCTTGGAGAAACGCTGAAACTGAACCCGCTGCAGGAGTGTAATGTTGTGAGGCTGACTCTAAAGGTGGGGAGTAAAAAGGATTATCACTTTATTAGAATATAACACAGCAAGTGGATTTTGATAAAGGCATGTAGTGAAAGTTGTTTGTGCACTGTCAACTGCTTACTTATTCATAACAAAGAGACTTAGCAGAAAATGAGAACCTGATCCTGCAAACATGAAATCAATAAAGCTACTCATGTGAGTAAAGTTACATGCTCACTTGTTTGTAGGATTGTTGCCTATATTTGTACAGCATAACCATTTTGTTAAAGGTTGAATATGCCCCAGGGTACACCTACAAAAATCTTATTGTAGGTTGAGGGCTTATAATTGTAATCTTGATGGTGCCATTTTGATTAAATGTTTTTTTAAAATAATCCATATAAGAGAATAATTTAGAAAAAACAGATTATCCAAAACGTTTCTGTAAAAATCCTTCCGGTGTGAATTCCATATTTATTATTTCTGCTGTGTGGCTTTGAGAGCTCTGTATTCCCTGACTGTTCATATTAGAGAAAAATGTCTCACTAGGCACATGAAGAAATTACAGCTAATCAGGCAAACAACTGACAGTGATAACACACACCTTCTATAATTATGATTAGTAATGACTGTGGATTGCTGCAACAAAAAACAGCTGTGGTATGTACTCAGGGCTTTATTCTGCCTTTTGTTTGAAAATAAGCACCCCACTTGAAATAGTACATCTGTAACGGCATGTAGGCTCTCTCTACGCTGCCTTTTTTAAAAAAAAAAATTTATCTTTCCACTATCACCACTTCAGCCCCATTGGTGGTAGCAAAGGTGGGAGCCCTAAAGTGGAAATTTTACCAAAGCTGACTAATCTTGTTCACAACAAGTCTAGAGAGCATAGTAGGAAAAATGTCAGTGACTGCCAAAAACATTTTCCACATTAAAATGTGTGTGTGAGAGTATGTACGCATGCTCATACATGTGTGAATTTGGTTTTGAGTCAGTCTTTGTTTATGGTGCCTTTGATAAATATGGCCAGTGTTTAGTTATTATATATGTTGATTACTTTGGGCCTCTTTTATGTGTTTTTTCCAAACCATATGCCTCATTCTTATTGTCAATCCAGAATAAACTACCCAGCCATTTCAGCTGTGGATATAACACAAAGCAGTAACATATCTACAATTATATGTATTTGAGGAATAAACAGTTCTTCTTCGAGTGCTTGCTCATGTCCATTCCATATTAGGTGTACGTGCTCGCCACACACACCAGTGCTGGAAGTTTTCCCCTCGGTGGTATCCGTAGGGGACCAGCTCTTGCGCCCCCTGGAGCAGCGTGCATATGCTGCAGTATAAGGGGCACCACCAGCTCCCCACACCTTCCGTGTCTTATTGCCACCAGGGACGGTGCTGGAACATCTGCTGCTTTGGCTAGCATTGCGCTTCATTCAGTGTTTCTTTTGAACATTTCCCTGTAAAATAGTTGTACATAGTTAATAGATCCCTTAGAATTAGTTCTAGTATAATTGGTCCCAGAACAGGATGGGGCATGCTCCAGTCCCCAGGCTTTAAGCCCTGCGATCGTTGTAAGCGACCTATGCTGATCAGCGACCCGCATGGTAGTTGTTTAAGGTGTCTAGGAGAAGGACACACAAGCAACAAGCATCACATCTGTGAATCCTTTAAACCCCAAACAAAAAAGGAGAGACACGTCCGTCTCAGGGCACTGCTGATGGAGTCGGCGCTGACCCCAGCACCAGAGCAGAGGTCTGACTTGGCCCCAAGCACCTCAGCATCGGTGCGGAGCGCCCCGCCGGTGCTGTCTACAAGCTGGCACCAATCCCCCTCCCCAGCTCTGGCCAAGAAGTTGAAGAGAACCATGAGGGGAAGATCTCCCACTTTCCGTAAGGGAAAGAAAAGGGCTGGAGAGAGCCAAGACCTGTGCTTGACAGCTCAACACCTCCGTCAGGGACTAAGGCCCCAGCTCAGGCCGAGCAGTCTCGCCCATCCTGTACCATGCCTGCCACACTGGACAGTGAAGAGGGACTTCATCATCTAGAGGTCTCATCAATACCCGAGGCACTGTAGGGAGTGCAGGAGATCCTGACACTACTAGTGCCACCCACACCGGCTCCGGTGGTACCCGGGTCCTGGGGTAAACCCACCTTGGGACCTTCCTGTATGTCCCCACCTCAGCAGCAGCACTCCCCTTCGTGGGGGAGGTCCCGCCAGCACTCACCTGCATGAAGCCGTCATGTCTCAGAAGCAAGGAGGCAGGCTTAGCAAAGTCCTTGTCAGTCTCTGGACCCTGTGCACCGACAGCGGGATTTGAGGCGTGGCTCGGCAGTAACCTGGCGCAGACCTACGGAGGCACGCGCCCCTTGGCAAGAGCATCAAGACCTGCCCTTTCTATCTCCAATGCCTCGGCACCGGTCACGCGACCAATCGTATGAATGGAGCCACTGGTCACCGAACCGCCAGCACCTCTCTCCAAGACACGATTGGAGAGATCCTCCTGCTGACTGGATCGCTCCAGCTCCCGGTCCTGCTTCACGTCCCGGTACTGGTCGAGTAGCATGAGGTGTAGATCTCCAGATTACTGACACTGATCCGCCGAATGCTGATGGTCCCCGAAGTCCCATGCAAGGGACTCATCTCAATCTGACAGGTCGAGGCGCAGCAGTTGGTGCCACAGAGAGAAGGGCTGCTGGTCCACCCGATTATGGTTGCCTGACAGCGACCACTCTACTTCAGGCTGGGGCACTGAGCAGGAGTCCTTGGCAGTGGGACAAGCCCTGGCACCGGCAATATTGTCTACATCATCAGCACCACAACCAATCCAATGGCCCAAGGCCAGTGGCCAACAGCCTGGTACCCCGGAATCCATGGGAGTTTACCCAGCCTTCGCAGACAGTCTGGTCAGTGGCAGGGGCCTTGGATAGACCTTCGGCCTCTCATCGCACCCTCCACCAGAGGTGGAGACCCCAGAAGGGCAGACCCCCCAGGCCCATGAGGACCCAGGAGACCAGCCGGCTGGACCTCCAGGGGACATGGCAGATCCCACGGCACCAGCTTCATCCTCACCATCGCTGGATGAAGTGATTATGGGTCCCGCTTACCCAGTTCCACAAGATGACATGAAGCTGATCAGGAACTATTGAAGGGGGTTGCCTCCAACCTGGGGCTCCAGGCAGAGGAGCTAGAGCAGGGATCTCAAACTCAAATTACCATGAGGGGTCACATGAGTACTAGTACATTGGCCCGAGGGCCGCATCACTGACACCCCCCCTGCCTCTGCCCCCCGCCCCCACTCCACCCCTTCCATAAGCCCCCCCGCCTCACTTCTTCCAACTCCTTCCCTAAAGTCCCCAACCCAACTCCGCCCCCTCCCTGCCCCTATTCCAACTCCTTCCTCAAATTCCCGCCCCTGCCCCGCCTCTTCTCTGCCTCGTCCCCAAGTGTGTGGCTCCCCGCTCCTCCCCCCTCCGACCTGGAAAGCGCCTGAAGGTAGGCAGAGGAGCCAGGACACTACGAGCTGGCCGGGGGGGCGGGCGGCGGGTGAGGGGAGTTTGGCGGCTGCAGGAATAACTCGGAGGGGATGCGGGGAGCTTGGTGGGCCGCAGCAAAGAACTTGGTGGGGGTGGAGGGTGCACGGGGAGCTTGGTGGGCCGCACCAAATAACTCCGCGGTCTGCGTGTTTGAGACCCCTGAGCTAGAGGAGCCATCGGACTCCCTGTTCGACGTCCTTTGGTCCACAGCATCTGTTAGGGTGGCTTCACCCCTACATGAAGGGATATTGTAAATTACTAATGCCTTATAAAACCCCCTCTTCCTTGCACCCCATTTCGAAAAGGGCTGAACACAAATACTTTGTGCTAGCTAAAGACCATGAGTACCTCTACGCTCACCCGGCGCCAAATTCCTTCGTAGCTGAGGCTGTTAATCAAAGGGAGAGGCATGGGCAACCCAGGGCTATGCCCAAGAATAAAGACTCAAAGAGAGTGGATTTGTTTGGGCAAAAAATGTATTCGTCTTCCAGCCTTCAGTTGAAAGTGGCCAATCACCAAGCCCTCCTCGGCCACTACAACTATAACTATAACGTGGCAGGGCATGGTCAAGTTCGAGGTTTTGCTTCCTGAAGGGTCTAGGAAGGAATTCCTGGTGATCCTCGAGGAGAGTACAGCTGCAGCCAGGCAGCTTCAGACAAGGCGGACTCCACAGCTCCCACCATGGCCTTGGCCATCTCTATGCAGCAGGCATCCTGGCTTCTCCTCTCTGGCTTGTCGACAGAGGCTCAGCAGTCAATGCAAGATCTGCCTTTCAACAACCAGGTCATTTGCAGAACAGACGACAGTCGGCTTCATGGACTAAAAGACTCCTGTACTACCCTGAAAACTCTAAGGCTGTACGTCCCTGGTCCAGCCCGTAAGCAGTTCAAACCACAGCCAGCTCAGGGCCAAGGGAGCCAACCCTAGCAGGAGCCACCCCACAAAAAGGGTAGGGGCTACAAGCGCCACCCGAGCCACGCACCTTCACCCTCTGCCCAATTGGGCTCAACCCGCATTAAGCAGGGGGCCAAGCGAGCGTTTTGAGGATGCACCGAAGGGCGACCTACTGGACTATACCCCGGATCCATCTCCCACTTTTCTCCAACTGCCTTTCTTTTTTCCTCCCGGCATGGACCACTATAACTTCAGACCGTTGGGTCCTCAATACAGTGGCTCCAGGTTATACACTCCAGTTTCTTCCCCGCCCCCATCCCTCTTCAGGGACCCCCCTCACAAGAGTCTCCTCATGTAGGAGGTGGAAGGGTTGCTGCAGTTGGGTGTGGTAGAAGAGGTTCCACACGAGTACAGGAACAAGGGTTTCTATTCCCAGTACTTTTTAATCCCAAGGGCCAAGGGCAGTCCTCAGCCCATCCTGGACCTGCAAGACCTCAACAAATACCTAAAGAAATTGAAGTTCCGCATGGTCTCCCTGGCCTCCATCATCCCCTCCCTGGATCCGGGAGACTGGTATGTTGTCTTCAACTTGAAGTATGCTGTC